TCTTAAATACTTCACATTTTATTTGAACATTGTACTATGGCCATCCATTTGAGATAATATGTATAATGAACAGTAGTTGAAAATCATCTTAATCAGATATTGACAGACAATGTTAGTCTATGGGTAGTATATTCAGAACTTTGTGTGTATATTTTCTTAGGTTGGTTTGGCAGCTTGTCAGATAGCTAAGAACCTGGGTCTGCAGGTTATAGGTACTGCCAGCACAGCAGAGGGCCTGCATCTTGTCAAGGAGAATGGGGCCCACCATGTTTTCAATCACAAGGAAGAGGGGCATCAGGGGAAAATAAAGGTGATTTTTAATGTGTTCTGTCACAGGGGATAGGAATTTCACTCCAGATTGCATCAACATTATGGAGAAGGGTAAAAGAGAAAGAGACTTACGTACCTGTATAAAATACAAAAATTACTGATACCTTCATTTTCATTTTGCATGATTTTTCTTATATGTGTTTTGATAGGTGATGTCTTTGTCAATATTTTCATCTGTATTTTCTAATAGGAGGCCACAGAGGGTAAGGGAGTTGATATTATATTGGAGATGATGGCCAATGTAAACCTGCCTGCTGATGTAATGCTTTGCAAGAAACATTGTCGAATTATGGTATAATTTTTTTTCAATATTATAACACTCAAGATTCTTTAAACTAATAAAAAGTTCAAGGAGGCCATTATGTACAATTTTTCCTCATGCTGTATTTAAATTCATACTGTGTATTTTCTGTTAACTATGCTTGATGATTATTTTATTTTTTAAATTCCTAAAATCAAATTTGAATAAACATTTATTAAATTTTCATTCTTGAATGATTTTACTTGTATAGATTAGTGTCAAAAATGTGGTCATAATGGAATTTCAACAATTAACCTCAAAATTTTGTGTCTTAGGTTATAGGTAATCGTGGGGACTGTGAGTTCAACTTTAGCAAACTGATGACAAATGAAACTTCTGTTATTGGAGTCAAGCTTATGATGACTGAAGGGGTATGCTTATATTTACTTGCAAGTTACTTTGTTATACTCTATCACATTGATACCATTAATAAACAAATTTTGGAACAGGTAAATAATTTACACCCATTAAGTTTTTTTTTTTACATAATTCAGTTTATAAAAAATGTATTACCTTGATCAAATTTTTTGCTGAATTTTCCCCTTGTGTGAAGTTTAAATTTTCTTAATTTTGTTTGAAAGTGAGTAGCACTTCACTAAAAATATCTGGAAAGTTTTTAAGGCAAGCTCTTTTGACTAATTTTGTAAAACTGGCATATTATGTTGTGTAGCAATGATAATTATGGCACATCCAATGTTTATAACGGTTATGGTAGATATGTAAACAGTATGCAGCATTGTGCATAATCTGAAACAATCTGTTTAAGTTCCCCCCTCCCCCCCTGCAAAAAAAAAAAAAAAAAAAAAAAAAAAAACATCATGTACTATAAAATCTGTAAGTATTAAAAAGCATTCAGTGCACCTCAACTTAATTGTTTGTTGTACATGTATAATCAACTGACTTCAGTAAAAATCATAAAAATATCTGATATGCCTAGATTGTCTTTTCTGTTAGTCTAGTACAATTGTCTTTTTTTGTTTTCCTCGTGAAGAAGGAGAATTTTCTTTTTATGGTTGAAATTTACACTCCAGCATGAATGGGAAATGATGGGAAGCTTCATGTATGCTGGTATGGAACAGGGCTGGTTGAAACCAGTTGTACACAGGAAATATGACCTGAAGGATGCACCACAGGCACATGCAGATATCATCAGCAATCCAGGATGCAAGGGAAACCTTGTTCTGCAGATATAGTACTGGTGTCATTCAAAATATGGTACGGATTTTTTTACTTCATGCCTAAAAGAATGAGGTCAGTGCTATATGTTTTGTTTGTAGTGTTTTAAGATTAAACTTTTTGTACATGTATATAGATTGATACCATAATCAGTGGCTGTTTTAGGACGTCTTCTGCGTCTTCCAGAAGATGATCAGATTTTCAAGTTTATTTTGACGGTATCTAATTTTTTCTCTCGGAAGACTTACAAAAAATGGCAAATGGATCAACAAAGATAAGGAAGCTTGTCAGAAAATATCTCTGGATCTACCCCAGATGGTCTTTTATAAAGAATACATAGATATATGCCACTTACTTTAAATATGTCCCAGGAGGAAGTGGTATTTACATACAGATAAATGGGAAAATTGGCTATTGAATTTTACTGTAATTTAATATACAAAGGCTGGGTGAATTTGAAAGCTTGGAGGCTATAGGATTGTAGTCTTAAACATTTTAGCTGCCTGTAAGTTTGGTAACCCTTTTTTATATCCCAAAAGTTAACTTAAAATCATTCATAATGGCACACATTTCACGCATTAAAAGGAAAAACTGAAATGGTTGTTTGGTCAAGAATGTTTGCATTACCTGTAAAATTCCAGGCCTTGGTATGGTTCACATTGACATAATGCATGATCAGAAGCTGTGTGGAATGTATTTTAACCTTCATTTCATCTTTATCTGTTTCAGGTAAAATGGGGTCTTTAGATGTAGCATACATTCAGTGCTACAAGATGCAGTGCTATCAGTGTCAAGATACAGGTGGCCATGTTCAGTTATGGAGCCCTGTTCAACAGTCTTGTGTTGCTTTCATTTCTGCTTGTCGCCGGCATTTACAGCTTTCTGTCCTTCTTGATGACAGTCTGTCCCACATGTTTCCATCCTACATTAGACACTGACTTCTCTTGGACATACTTGACAGTTGTATGATCACCAGGTATGGCTGGCAGATGGATTTATCGACTTCTGCTTGACACTAGATGGTGCCTTAATTTTACTCATTGTCAAGAATTTTAAATAAATCCTTCAGAAAGCCAACAGGATGGTAATGCATGCAAGAGGGATAAATTATCTCCAAATCTGCAGCAAGTTTCAACAAGCAGGCCAAGGAATTGCTGATGTGTTTTTGCATTCAAATGCATGTCCAAATTGAAACTAACTGCTGAAAAAAAGACAGTTTAAGATCTTTGTTCTTTTTTTCAATGCTGATGGGTGCAGACCCGTGGAGTGGGGAGGGGGATGTCATTCACCCCATTTCCATAGATTTTTAGATCGATCTATCCCTGTGGGGAGTCTCACTAGATTACTGTCAGCTTGGCCAGCTTAAGCGTCTGTCCCGCCTACTAAAAGCTGTAAGGGGGTAATTAACTATGGTGCCCGCTTGGCTGACTGCAATTTAGCGTGAACCCCCAGGGAGTTAGGTTGATCTAAAACTTAATCTTTAGATCGATCTAAATCTCTGGGAAAGCACTCATTGACAAAGCCCCCTTTTGGCCAGAAAAGGTCCAATCTGAATTGAAATTTGGGTCATGCAAGGGTTAAAAGGGTCAGTCTCTTACCTTGTATTGAAGTTGGCAAGTACAGGCCTATTATGGCACATTGATAAGATAGATTTTAGAATACTGTTATGTGTTTGCCTTAATCCATAACCATACAGCTTATATTAATGGCTTTAAGATGATAAAACAAACTTTGCTTTGATATTTGTCATCATCTTTTATTCAATAGGATAACAAAAATGAGTTGGTTTAACCATGATAGAACAATTATTGGTCATACATGTAGTCTATCACAATTATTTCTTGGGACTTATATAGCCCAAATGAAGTTAAATGTAATACACGTACCGGAAGAAGTGAATAAATAGTTAAAACTGAAATTGATGACAGATTTTAGAAGCTTATATTTAAACAGTCATAGATATTACACACTGTATCTTTATGATCAGGATCAGTGCATTGCTGGGTTAAAGTGTATACAAAACCCAAAAAGCATGAGCAAAATTTGAATAAAGTAAAATTGTGAAATCTTCTCTAACACAATTTCACATTGATTGCCAGATGCAGCTCTATACACATTACGTACAGGGACTCTGCTAAAATAATCAAAAATGTTTTATGCATGAAAACACTAAACTAACTGGGGATGTCCGATTGTAGCTCCCAAAAAGTCAGAAATCTGCTGATAGTAGGTAAAATGTCATTATCTGCTATGGGTCCACTGCCATCAATTAACACTATTAATGCCTATGATACATAGCAGCTATAATACGGGGCACTGGCTTAAAATTAAGTAAGAAGCACGTGGTGTGGTGAATAAAATAACGAAAAAGGAATGGTTTTTTTTTGCTGTTAAAGTGTGAGTGTAACTGTTTAAATGCTTTGTACTTATATCAAGATAAATATTTAAGTTAAAAGAAATGGTGGGGAAACTGTTATATATATATTGGCCAATTTTGGGCATTTTCTTGAAACTATCTTCTGGTACCGGAATTTTTATCAAATTTGATATAATTACTATATGCAAGGAGTTATAACAGACTGTTATAACTCCTTGCTATATGCCAAAGTTGAATGTTGCTGTCTCTAAATCTAACAAAAATCTCTTATAATTAAAGTTTTTGTCTACTTTTTATTTGAAAGCTAGTAGGCCTATATATATGTGTATTTTCCCCAAAAAATCCAGCAAATCTAATTTTCCTCGGAAAAAGGAATAGGGGTCTTTCATGTTGTCATGGAGGTCAGAGAGCTGGGAATCAAACTACATGTACTAGTACATGAACATGCACCTTACGTGAATACAGTCACCCCTGCTGGGGACCGCCTGCTGGTTTAGTATACAGACGTAGATTCTACTGCAGTTGTAAAAGATTATCTTGAGACACCGTTTAGCCACCGTTGAGATTGTTCAAAGGCTTTTGTATTCTGTTGTGCTGCTTTTTTTTACGTATAGCACAAGCAAGGCACGGCTATGGAAACGGGACGACTTCTATTCCTAACAAACTACTGTATAGTAGGTAAATTGCCTTGACATGAAATGACCTTTGGTAACTAACAGCTGACCTACTTACAAAACTAGGTCGACTTTGTAAACGTGTGCAAGATTGAGGTGAGTACCAGGCCAGTCGTAGCTTTTAGCTTTCTAGCTACCGGTAATTAAAGCTGGTCAGAAGACACCTGACTAGTTTCAGCTAGAAAGCTAAAAGTATACCAAGACACAACATGACAACACTTAGTATTAAGCCCTAATTTAGGGAAATATCAAGTTTCATTCTGTCATGGTATACCGACTGATATTATACATGTGTCGGTGCAGTGTAATATCTGCTATATCGTGGACCGCGCACTGCGCAGTCACTTGTGCGAATAGTCGAGGTCTCAGTCAACATTAATAATCTAGATACTCCAGATAGATTGACAATGCTCTGGCTGTTATGTATTCTGCATTGTCATACTATTTGTAAGCTAGCTATACATGTAGATAACAGAATCCATCAAATATGAATTTCACATGTAGCTTGGACGTTAAAATGTTTAAGGTTACTTGAATGCTACATATAACCCCCACTTCATACACTATAAGTCTCTCTGTAACTGGAAACAACCTGCTGATAAAATAGGTCCAAGTGCCGTTAAAGGTACGTACTGTAGCTGTGTGTAGTATCACTTACTGTAGTTGAAACATCCTAAACATTCAGGGTGCTCAACCAATATCCTCTGATTAATATATATATATATTCTTGGTTTTTGTTTTCTTTCCGGGGAAGATACGCTGTAGATGCCATTCTTAACTCGTGGTTTGATGGCCCAGGTGATGCGAGCTATTCGAGTGAGTGAGTTTGGTGGACCTGAGGTGTTGGTGCTGGCTAAAGATGTCCCCATTCCAAAACCTGGGAAATGTCAGGTGAGAATAATAGTCAGGTGGTTAGTAATTAATTAGGTCATTCACTTGGAGTATGAAAAATGAAAAAAAAAATTAAAGAAGTGAGTTGCCATGTAGAAATCCGTGCATTGAAATGTACTCTTTTACAGTTGGCTGTTTGAGAAAATCCTTAATTTTCCTATGAGGCACTTAATTTGATTAAACGAAACCACCAAAAAAGACTTTGAATGCATGCATAAAAAGCATGCTCTTAAAAACTTCATAGAAATTTTAGTGTTAGACTTAGAGACTGTAGTATATACAACCATGGCATAGTAGAAGGTACATGTATCACAAGAAAATCTCAAGTTTAGAATATGTAAAACTTTTAAACTTATTTTTAAGAAAGAAAAATACCTCGATATAATTCAAGGTAAAGGAAAACATTTAACCCTAACCAAATTTAAAAATTAGCAGCCACAATTTGAATACTGAAACAGGTCACTATGTTGAGGGAAAACCAAATTTGTAGTTATAGAGGATGAAGAGCACTTTTTGATTATCTGTCCTCTATACACTGCAAATAGAAAGGAACTCTTTCAATTAAGTAGTAGAAAGTGGCCACACATGGTTTACACTTTAAACAACAAAGATAATTTCTCCTTCATAATCACATAATGATAATGACCAACCCAAACAAGACAGTGATAATATCTTTGGCCAAGTTCCTTAACTGCTTTTGAGAAAAGAAACTGTACTGCATCTTCCACTTAGTGATGTCTGTGGCTATAAATAATTACTGTAAATCTTAAGGTTTATTTCACGTAGTAGAAAACAGGCTCGTGCATAATTAATTTCTATATCTTATGTCATGTACAATACTAATAGTATGATGCTGGCATGCAATCAATGCTGTGAACAGTTGATTCTTCATAAAGATTGCACCTAGTTTATGATTCTGAAATACTGGATGTGTATGTGTAATAGCAATGCATGTCTATATATGTGATTTTGGTGCTATTTATCTGTACGTGTAAAAGTTTTTTTTGTATTATAACTATTACTATCTATCTCTGTACATTTTCACCAGCTCGGTCTGATGTAGAAAGTATGATTAAAGCACGCACACATGCACACACACACACACACACACATACACACACACACACACACACTTAACTGACAGACTGAAAATGTTAATGAAATATGTTACATTGAATTTATTCATCTAAGTACATCTCTCCAGGTTTTGATCAAGGTAGCAGCTGCAGGGATAAACCCAGTGGACACATATATCCGCACAGGAACACACACAGTGAAGCCACCATTGCCCTATACCCCTGGCATGGACGTGTCAGGAATAGTGGAGGAATTAGGGGAAGAGGTCACTAAGTTTAAAGTAAGTGATTGCTGTGACTTCACTTCACTGTTTGGTTTAACTCCACAAGTTTTGGAGTTAAAGACAGTACAAGTTCATGTTTCCAGCTTTGCAATTTAATGAAGAAATGAGTTTGGGAATGTTCAGATACCAGTATAATATGATATCATGATGAATAACAACCCATCTGTTGCAACCAGGAAAAACGTGATTACATGAATTTTGAAGTACACTTTGATTAATTATCTGTTTAAGTAGATAAAAATTATAGATTAATTGACAAATTGTATGATATATACAATGATAAAAAGTTTATTTGTCTGTCTGCATGTGTGTGTGTGCATGGGGGGGGGGGGAGGAGTGTTTTTAGACTTTAATATTTTCGTAAATAAATGAATATTTCATATTATTCCAAGCTCCAACCTCTGCAACAAATTTTTCTAGAAAGGAGACCACGTGTACACAGTTCGCACAGCTTCTGGTGGGTATGCCGAGTATGCAGTGGCTGATGACAGGACAACCTTTAAACTCCATAAAAACTTGGAGTTTACACAGGGAGCTTGTGTTGGAGTCCCCTACTTCACTGCATATAGGGCCCTTGTTATTAGGTACAGTTCAGTTATTTTCTTTAGTTTGGTAACTTGTCATATGCTGATGGAAGTTACTACACCCTGGGTTTGGGCAATTACTGGAAATGGTAGAAGCATACTGATAACAGCAGTTCATAGAATCTTTCTGAAACTCACTGATGACTAGCCATAACTTTGGAACTACTGGTAACAGGCCCATAGCCAGCAATTTCAAAGGGGGTAGGGGTCTTTTTCTGGAACATGGGACCTTTTACCGAGAAACTTTCATGTAACTAGATCAATTTTTACCTAGGTAGGCCTTTGCCGGGAAGAAAGGGCAGTTAGTTTGCCCCCCGGCAATGGCCTGGTTAATATGTATTTTCCTTGTACTAGTAAGAGGAATTTCGCTCACTATTTTTAGGGGCAGTGCTAAACCAGGAGAAACTGTGCTTGTCCATGGTGCAAGTGGCGGAGTAAGTTTTCATTGTAAACATCACATTACAGATACCATATTATAGAAATCATCTAGATAGTAAAGATACCTTTTTAAATATCATGTTAAGATACTCAAATGTGTAGATCAGTATTATCAGTAATTTTTTCTGGCAAACACATGTTTATTGACCCTAAGCATTGGCAGTTTGCATATAATTATTCAGCATTACAAGTTGGTGTCTTCATCCTCTCTGAGGCTTCTGGTCAGCAAAAATATTTTATTATATTTTAATTGCTTGAAGGTTGCTCAGTGCCACAGTATATTTTCCTAGTATGAAATATATTTAGAATATAAGTATTTACAGAAATTGCAGATCTAGAAATGAGATTAAACTTTATTTTTTTGTATATTATTTTCTTAGGTTGGTTTGGCAGCTTGTCAGATAGCTAAGAACCTGGGTCTGCAGGTTATAGGTACTGCGAGCACAGCAGAGGGCCTGCATCTTGTCAAGGAGAATGGGGCCCACCATGCTTTTAATCACAAGGAAGAGGGGTACCTGGACAAAATAAAGGTGATTTTTTATGTGTCCTGCCACAGGAAATTGGAATTAAGATGACAAAAGTATTCTTAGGCTTAATGAAGAAGGATGAGAAAAAACTAAGAGACATAAGGGTTGATCCTCACTTTTTCTATGGGCATGTTTTCACTATGTTTAAGTTCTTATTTGTCTGTATTTATGTTTCAATCTGTATTTTCCTATAGGAGGCCACAGATGGTAAGGGAGTTGATATTATATTGGAGATGTTGGCCAATGTAAACCTGCCTGCTGACACGATGCTTTGCAAGAAACATGGCCGCATTCTGGTAGACAAATTGTTATACTTTTATAGAACATTTTATAAGCTAAATCCATGTATAATGTGTAAGTTGTACATTTTCTTGGGGACCATTATGTATTCTATCACTTTTTTCATCACATTGTTTTTGTAATAATATTTTTTACTAACATCACATCTTGATGATCTTTTTATTTTTATGCGACCAGAGATTCAAATTAAAAGACAGATAATGAATGTTCATTATTGTGTAGATAAAAGACAAGAGTGCACATTTATTGTATTCATAAATTGAATTCAAACATTTACCCCCAAGTTCTGTATTTTAGATTATAGGTAATCGTGGGAGTTGTGAGATCAACCCTCGTCAACTGATGACAGTTGAAACATCAGTTATTGGAGTCATGCTCATGGTGACTGAACCGGTATGCTTATTTATTAAAAATTTTTTTACTCTTTAATGTTGAAACCGTAATTTTAGAGCTTGATTTTTCATGCCAGCTTTCCCCATTAAGCATTCTTTTGCAATATAATTCAGTTACAAATAACTTTGTTTATTAATTAGGTAAATTGTCCAATGCCTGCTTTATTCATTGTGTGATGATTAAAAATTTGTATATATTCACTCACTGATTGTCCTTTGTTTTAAATGTTTGAAAATATTAAAAATCAACCTAATAGGTGTTCATTAGTTCCAAGCATCAAATCAAAAATTTTTTAGTTTCAGACACTTTATCTATTTATTGTACAAAACAGCCATGTGGTTGTGGTTCAAACAATTAAATTACTTGATAACACATTTAATAAATGCATTGATTTCTTCTGTCTGTGCCTTAACTTGTGACAGGTAAACAGCACTCATTGGGTTGTGTATTGCTTGTCGTACTATTACTTGGGTATGACTGAGTCAGACTGATTTTTATCAAAAATTTACATTGCAGCATGAATGGGAAATGATGGGAAGCTTCATGTATGCTGGTATGGAACAGGGCTGGTTGAAACCAGTGGTACACAGGAAATATGACCTGAAGGAGGCGCCACAAGCACACATAGATGTCATCAGCAATCAGGGGTCCAAGGGAAACCTGGTTCTGCAGATATAGCACATGTACCGTACAAAATTAGCTGCCGATCAATTATCTCTTGCCTAGGAAGAATGATGTTAGTGCTTAATGCAATGTTTGCAGATAATTAATTTTAATAAAAATTATGGGACCACAGGTTTATAGAATTTCTAGCACAGTCAACTACTACAGCTTGCAGGCAAAATTGTCCCAGCTGGAAAGAATTTCTATGAACTTTTCTATGAATCTAGGAACTTGAGCTATGTAATTTTGCTTTTAAATAACAATATTATAATTAGGGATGGACACCTTCAAGGGCTTGGCCAGAGATAAAGTAGAAGTTTCTTTATATACTAGATAAAAGTTACAGGAGATTGAATTTGTATATGAATGCTCATCTGTTGTTCTTCCTTTTGCATTAAATTGTCAAAGTAAACATTTAAAATCAGTGTTAATACTAAATGCAGCCTTCCGGTGTAGGCTTTTTCTCCCATCTGATTTCTGTCCATTGGATAATAAGACAAGCACAAAAAATACTGTTTCCAAAACAGTGTATAACTGTGATTAGTCATTGTTAAAGTGACGGGGATTTTGCTATTTCTGCTGTTGGTGGTTCAAATGGAAGACAATGTAAATTTGTTCCTCACGGAAGTATGATGTACAGATAGATTTTAACCTTATAAGACTTCCTTGCAAAATGAAAGAGTTTGCAAAAAGAATTTTATTGCTGCTAATTTGCAGCCATATTGCGGAAAATTTGCAAGGAACTGCAGATTGCAGCAGTATTGCAGGCCTGATATTTTGTTATGGGGCCCTATTTCCAGACGATGGTGAGAGCCGTTATCTAAGAAAACATTTTCTTACAGTTGTCAATCAATGTGATTGATCAGCATCAATAAAACTGCAACATACTTCATGCTGCTTTGATTTTAAAATCTGTGAAGATGTCAACAGCAGTATTGTATGTCAGATATGAATATTTAAATCTGTATGGCAATATTTTGTGTCTCTAACTTCTAACAAAACAACAGTGCCAATAAAGGAATAATTTTTTACTAAGGCAATGTTGTGTCTCTTAGCTGTGCCAATGAAAGGTGAAGTGATATCAAAACCATATAAATGAAAAATAACAGGATTTTATTGCTTATTGTAAGACAGACTAAAAGAAGTGGTTAAACAGTTTAAAATATACAACAAGTTTATTGCTAAATGTTGAAAAGGAACTTTTCAATACATGCACTGCAATTACATTGTTACTCTCTCAACCACAAACATTTGTCTATTCTGTAAAGGACTGCCATTAAATTGACATTTTCATTACAAAGATAAATTTTAAAAATAAATTCAGAATGTAATTGCTGTATCAAAGAAGATTAAAGATGGCTAATATAGTAAACAATGAACTCTAATCTATTCCTCAAGACAGCACTAGATCATAACACTGTCACGCATGTACACATGTATACGTAAAAGTCTGTAATATAAACAATAAAAATGATGGACAAACATTAGCTGCCACCATGTTAGCTTCGAAAGTAAAAACATTTGGTCAATGCTGTATAAATTTTACATTCTGGATTGTTTGCATTTAAAATGCATTTTCAGGCTCAAAAATCTAATCTGCATAAAAAGGCACTATATTCATGTAAGTGAAACAAATATCGCAAAATTAAAATAAAAGGCACAAGTAAAAGGCAAGATGAAAGCTTTGTTTCACTGACACAATGTCGTGGGTAAAATGTGCCTGTAACTGTGTACACATCCCAGTTACAATCAAAGGCAGGACAAATTCCTGCAGAGAGTTAATGGTGATGATTCCTATGGCAACATCTTCTTGATCTTATATTACCACTGGCAAAGCAAACTTTGTGAACTAACTGGAGATTTCATTTTATTCAGTAAAATGTTCCTAAGTTAATTTTGCAGAGGAAGACATCTCGACATTCATATGTGCCAGTATTTTAAATAACAGGATTTGATAATTAACAAAAAATACAGAAATACTGTTTACAAAATAATTTGAGCAAAATTAACATGTTGTTACTGTGTAACTAATAAATAATAATAATAATAAACAAACAATGGCTACACTGCCAAATTGTCTCACACTGAAGGCTTGAAAGTATAATAAGTACTGCTAGTCCTTTCTATCTCTTCCATGGTCTCTTCCTTTAGTCTTGATATAGACTCCATAAACTGTTGTATTCTATCTTCACTGCTTGTGTGTATGCCTTGCCCTAAATGAGAATGAGAGAATCTTCAGTTTTAACACAGAAACAGGACCTGAAATTTTGGTATAATTTTGACATATCCTGACTGAATCATATTCACAGATCAGCAAATAAAACAAATTAATTGAATTAGCAAAATTACTCAGTACTCCAAAAAGTGAAATAATTGGTAAATTTTTAAAAAATCCACAGAAAGTTCCCAGAAATCTGCTTCCATTTTATACGGTTTTGTGAAAACAGTCAAAATGGAGTTAGGCCAAGTTAACTAAATATAGATACTATATGTTTTCTGAACAAACAAACATGTCACATAAAGCTTAAGGAAATCCATTTTGGGGGTTTTCAATCTTATTTACGAAAAAAGACTCTACATTAAAAAATCTTTTGACAGGTACTCTGTCTTTGTTTTTTTTTTAAGCTATAAAAAGCTGAAGAGACTACATTCAACAATAGCACGCAATTTAGTTTAATTTTGGGACAAGATATACAACTCGTGCTCACTTGAAGGGGATCCTCTGACAGGCACTCTGTCCATGGAGTCCTCCCGTCTGTGTCTGGGCCTGGACCTACTAGCAGAATAGCTTCGTACAGGGGACCTAGATGTCTGACCATCCTAAAGAGAACGAAACACAAATATTAACATTAGAAAAAAAATTCTATTTAGGCCAGAGACATATTTTCTGGAGGAGTAACTGGTTAACAAACCTGTACAATCTCTCATTTGCTTTTTAAGTAGAGAATGCTCAACTGATAGAAGGTATTTTCAGTTGACTCTATCATAGTCAGAATAAAAAGTGAATAACAAATCTTTGAAAAGTTTTGTTAAATGTTTTTTTTAAAGATGCATACAAAGTCAATTTTTTGTCACAAAAACCAACCAAATGCCAGCATATAGTTTCAAGTACTACTAGTAGTATAACTAAGAGAATTACCAAAAGGCATTGTTTAATTTTACCTGAAAATTATGTTTGAACGGATTTTTCTGCTGGCATTCCAAGCCGTATGTCAATGGGACAGGAAAGTAGGTCACGAAAGTAGGTTAAATTTACAACCAAAAATTTTAAGAAATGAGCAGTCTAAAGGTCTTTTATGGCTGATCGAGTGATCTATTCAGTTTATCCCTTGGCATGTCGAATTTATTTGAGTCATATAAGAATCTAGTAGAAGTGGTTTACATGTGTTACTGGGAATCCACGCTCCACCGATGCTCGGTTCGTATGTACCTTTAATGTTGAACATGCTGTATATAAAAAAAGTATTGCCACATAATATGAAGAATGTTTACTACCTGAGATTCTAATTTGTCCAAGAATTGTACCTTGGCTGGTGATCTTGACCTTGATCTTGAGGGCACTTGTGACTGTGATCTTCTAGGTGACAAAGAATCGGACATTTCTCCTCTCGAGTTAGATAATACCTACAACCAATATTTTTTCTTTTATATAGTCGGAAACTTCATTTTTATAACACAATTTTCAATTAAGTAATGAAAAACATCTCATTTACACACATACAGTCTATTATATACCAGTAGTGAGAAAAAAAGAGTAATTATTCCTTGTTGTAATATTGAAAAGTGCACCTGATATTAAACTTACATCCTGCAAGTTAAAAAGCTTTCTTTTCAAGCTGTCCAAAGTTCCCTCAGACTGCTGCCGCACAGTGTTGATAGCATCTAAATGTTTGGACATCTGTTGTCTCAGCTGGAGCTGAAAATTAAAAAAAAAAAAAAAAAAGGCAAAATGTTATCAATGATTGAAAAGCTATGTTCTTAGATACAAATATGATACCTATTCAGAATGACAACAAGATCAATCTCTCAGCCCATCCTTCCACTTTTTTAAACAAACCCGTCTCATTTTAATGTGAATCTCCATAATTAAGATATCCATGACCCCATACTGATCTTCAAATGCCTTGTCTCCTTATCCTAATGTGGACCTGTTTATCATATACTAAGAACTCTTCTCATATCCACCTACATACTAATGCAGGTCTTCATTATTCATATATCCACCCAAAACCCCTTTTCAAACCCATCACCATTTTCCTAACAATAATGTCTCCTCTCCATAATCTTGCTTACCCTGAGTTGTTCTTGCTCCTGTTTGATTTTCTCTCTGACTGCTTCCTTCCTCCATTCTGACTCCTCACTCTTCCTGCCTGGCTCCTCATTTCCTCTGAGAGCAGATGTCCTCCTTGACAGATCTGTTGATGTACCTACGTCTACATCAGACCTGATCTGTAAGTGAATGAAGATGAGGCATAGCAAGGAAGGATAAAATGTAGAAAAAAATAGAACTTCATGAATACAAATAGAACATAAATGTCACAGACTCAGTGTGATGCTATTTATTACCATGAGGGTTGAACTCAAAAGACAGAGATAAGCTTAGTATTGATAATTCAGATATTCTTTTACCCACAGTACACTTATTTGGTCGAACTTTTATGATGCACACTAGAATTGGGGCAAGTACCTGTAAGTTCAGCACCTGTGCTATGTATTTTATTGGCATATTTGGGATGATGAAAGCAAAGTTACTTGGTGCACACATTATTTTAAGTGTACTGTATGTAAAAGTGTACTGTGTGTAAAAATTATCAAAATACTCAACATACTTTCATTTAGCCCCCTTGATTAAATATGTACCAGTTCCCTAAGACAGCTGTCACAGTGTTGATTGGATGCAATTAAAATTAAAAAAAAAAGCTTCACACAAATTTCGTCACTTCCCCAACACTGACAAGTTCTGTGAAAAAGGGCAGTTAAATTTCTTTTCACACAAAATATCAAAAACACATGTAAACATACAAAAGTATTCAAAGAAAAAGAAAATGAATTAACAGGAAAGTCTTACATTTGACAAATTTTCCTTCAGAGTATCTAAATGCATCTCCAGTTGTTCTTTTTGATCATGAAGTTGCTCAAGTTCTTCCTCAGCTTCCATTCGAGACTTGTTCAGGTCTTCTATACCAGCCTCAAACTCCTGCAGATGATAATGAAAAAAAATACTGGATCTTGGGTTGAAACGAAGATCACGGTCTTTCCACCTTATCACAAGGCCTTCAGGTGAACTGATTTAAGTTGTCCCGAGGTCATGTGATGCACAATCAATAAATTTTATATTTTAAAGATACAATTTTTTCAATGCTGGCACATCTGAATAATTCGAAAATAAAATAAGTAAATAAAAAGAAAAATGTTTAAAACTTTACCTGTCTTATGTCATTTTTAAGAGAAAAAATGGTCTCTTCTAATTTCTGCTCCTTGTCAAGTATCTCTGCCTGTGACATCAGCTATACGAACAACAACAGAAAAACAAATGAGAAAATAGTTTCAATGGATCTGCAAACAGTTAATATTATATATAAAATATTCATGAAAATTAGATGCATATTTTTTTTTAGAATCCTGTTGAGCAAAGTGGGGCAGCATGGTTGACATCAAAAGTTCTCATTTTAAAGAGTACAGATTACTGACAACTACAGTTGTGAACAAGTCTGAGATTTTGATGAAAGTAAACTAAAAATAGTATCTTGATAACTCACACACTCTAAATGCTTGTCTTATTCAAATGTCCAAGTTTTTTTCTAGATTTCTCACTTATAAATTCATCAAGTAATTAAAAAGAGAAAAAAAAGATACCGACTCTATTTGTACAACTTATGGAACATCTTTTTAAACTCACAAACCCCAAAATTACTTATAAAAATTAAACCACTCAGTTCTTTTTTTAGTAAAAAAAGCAAGTTGTGTATTCCTAAATGGCTCACCTTCCTCTTAGCCTCAATGTACTCCTGTCTCAGTTCATTGAGGTCCTGGCTGAGACGGTTGGCACGGCGACAGTGGTCCTGGGCAACAGATTCCAAGTCTGCAATCTCTCTGGCAGAGTTCTGCTGCAGTTGCTCATATTCCTTAAAATAAAATAACAGTTATAATAACTAAATGTAGGTATAAATTTAAAAAAAGGAAAATAAATAAATTTATAAATTAAAAAAATGGTCCTTGAGATTTTTAAAGATTATCAACTTTTCAACCTTGTTATATTAAAAGAAAAACACACAGCATTCTTTTCTTTTAACCAAATGTTATAATGAGAGTTTAACAGTCAAAATGTTTACAGTAAAAACGTTGGTCAAATAAAGGGTACAGTAAAAAAACAAACCATACATGTGCAAACTAGCTACCCATTTTGTAAGAAAAAAAATTACAAGTTAGAATTAATAATAATTTTTTCTAACACACCAACTTAGTTGCAAATATAGTGCTGCAGTGC